TGGCTTCGCAAGTGTCCATAGACCTAACGGGAACGATTCCTAAGAATTGGAAGTTATTTATTAATGGATCATTTGTGCTGGATCTAAACTTTAATAAAAGTCTTCATCTATAACGTATCAGTCTTTTAATTACGGCAGTGCTTATCTATCGTGACAAGTCGAAATTCGAACTAATAGTATAGTACACCATGTTCAAGGTTGCAGTATTTGGTAAACGGTATGTAAGACTAATCGCGTGTGCGCCAAACTGGTAACTATTACACAAGAACGCGAAACAACATCCCTGTCTCACAGCCACATAAGACTGCACATAACACTCTCCCTGTTGTTACACTATAAGAATAAGTTAATGGCCATATAAATGAATTTATGTAGAACTAAAAAGATTACAATATTAGAAATTCTTGTTACAAGAAGCATAGCTATGTTCTGTGTCAACAAAGGATTCTGACGTTGTAGCTTCATCATCAGCACCGATTGAACTCATCACTTGTGCGCGTATGTCTTTCGATGCTTCGAGGCATGAGCGGATGAGTTTACTTGCCAAAGGTCCACTAAGAGCATGGATTGAGTGGTAGTTATTAGTGAACTTTTCTAGCAGATCATCACTCCATGTAGAGATTGACACGTTGTTTATCGCACGAGGAACCAAGTCCATTATGTATTTCCTTGTCCATCGGCTGCTATGTCGAAATAAGTCTACAAAGCTTATAAAGACAAAGGAACACACACTTACCTCCACGAACTAGATCTTTAGGATCCGCATACAGAATATGACCACAGGGCAGCATGTAGTCATTGAAATGCTCACAAGCACATCGTGCACGTGAAGTATCAACAACATACATCATACCCATGTCGTAGCACCGGATGTATTCTCCTTCTATAAATTCGCGTCTCATTGTCCGAACACGTTTATAGTTTACAGCTACAATTTTAGATGCAAAAGATGTGAAGTCATTTAAAATAGTTCGAAAGGACATTAGAATCTAGAATTAATGATACATTAAACTATACTTCTTACCTGAAGAGCTGAAAAACGTTGAAGATCCTTTACAGCGTCATATGGACGCAAGCTTAGGTTAGTGTCTATTTTACTTCAAATTTTCCAGAAAGTCAATAGAAGAGAATCACCTCTTCTGAGACGTTCTTCTAGGTGCTTATGTGTGTACAAGGCTTTGGAATGGAGTTCAATGATTTCCTCTAGGAAAAGTATTGAAGACCAAATAATAGCTGGGAGATCGTGCAAATATGATGCTCCACAGCGTCTAATTCCCTTGCTGAACATGCTGACGCCATTCGCAAGATCAAAAGTGTTATATGAACTTAAAAAATGCGTCTTGTTTATCTTGAATATGAAACCGGTGGCTAATTGTTAATGCTTGATTGCGGACGGCATTACGAAGTGGATGTTAATACGTGTGAATGCAATTGCAGCACATTTATTATGTGTCGATATTCTTGACACTATCTGCTACTGGCATATGTTAAAAGACGAACTCTTACAGGTAAACTTTATTAATTATGAAATATAAACTGTATAGCTCACCAACTCTTTAGATATTGCAGCAGATGGAAGTTACTTATTACGCATAACTTCCAAAATAACACAACAACTGCATTACCAAGACGGAGTGAAGTGTACATAAGCATTCAACGAAGCCAAAGAATCAATAAGCATCGCATCATTGAGAAGTATGGCGAAAGTTTCGCAACGGAAGTTGAGAAAAAAGTTCCTAATTCTTATAGACACTTACTCGTATACATTATTGTTATTCATACCCATGAAAGTAGGAATAAGAGAAAAATGAAAATTATGCATAAGTTTACTGAATTATCATTAATAATGAAGCAGAAAAACAAGTTTACAAGTTGTTATTAAGAATTGTTGCGAGGACTTGAAGGTCAAACTTTCGCAAAATGATTGGTGCGTCACATTGACAATTCGTGAAAATTTTCAGAAGCGGTCAAACCAAGACATTTTTAGATTTGAATTGAGTTCAGACACACCATGTCTGATAACGTTCATTCTTCAAGTAACGAAGACGATGCCATCGTGATGATGCATGATATAGAACGAATATTCAATGATATTATGTTATCTTGATGATTTACAAGTTGAGACAATGTTGAAACAGAATACAAAGGCGTGTGAATTAGTTAGTTGCCGCTTGAAATGCAAGGGACAAGAGCTGCTGATTGGTTTGGTCTATCGCAGTCCAAGTTGTGAGGTAAACGAAGTCCTGCTAAGCAGTCTCAATACTTGGTCACAAAGTGGTCGATGTCTAATCCTAGAGGACTTTAATGCACCTATGGTAGACTGGAAAAATCTGCTAACTGAATCGTCAGAAAATTCCTTCGAGCAGGAACTAGTTGATGCAGTTGTCACATGTGCTCTAGTGCAACATGTGAAAGAAGCGACTAGGTACGACCCGGACGCTGAATCATCCTTACTAGATCTTATAATCACTCACTATGTGGATGACGTTGCGAGCTTACATTACATGCCACCCCTGGGTAAATGTGATCACGCAGTTTTAATTTTCGACTTCCATATAACTGTCAGTCACGAGCACGCGTCAGCTCAATCCAGACCTAACGTCTGGAAAGTGAATATACCAGGTATCATGCACTCAGCATCGTTAGTAGATTGGACAATAGACCCGGAGTCCTCAGTTGAAACAGCCTGGGACGAATTTCGAAATTCATACTTAAAAATTACCAAACCCCACATCCCTTGGATTATACCAAGGGGACCGAGAAACTCCCCACCATGGTTCAGTAGGGAGGTCCGCATCCTTCTCCGTAAGAGAAGAAAAATGTGGGATAGATTTAGGTTACTGTGGACTGTTGAAACTAAATCCCAGTATAGAAAAGTCCTGAATACCTGTGCCTCGATCCTCCGTAAGTCTAGAAAGTTGTACGAAGAAAAGATTGTCAAGGAATCCATAGAATGTCATAAACGCTTGTATTCTTATATAAACCAAATGACAAAGAGAAGAGGAAATATTCCTACTGCCGCATCATTAGTGGAGGACGACTTCGGTAAGGCCCAAGTGTTCTCGAAATACTTTAGCAATGTATATACCATAGAAGCGCCCTTCCCGTCAGTGTACACAGATTCCCCTACACATACACTGGATAGCGTGACCATTGAAGAACTCGATGTCTTTGGTCTACTTAATAAGCTTGACATAGGTAAATCCACGGGCCCCGATGAGTTACATCCTAGGCTACTGAAGGAATTATCTAACTTCGTTGCGAACCCTTTAAGTATATGCTTCAACCTATCCGTAACGCAGGGTCGTTTACCCAAAGACTGGAAAAACGCCATAGTAAGTCCTGTCTTCAAAACAGGTACGAAACACAAACCTGAGAATTACCGCCCCGTTAGCCTAACTAGTGTGGTTGTTAAAATCTTAGAAAAGATTATTCGGAAGGAGCTGTTTAAGTATCTCGATAAAAACCGGATCCTTTCGGAGAAGCAGCACGGTTTCAGAATAGGTTATTCTTGTCTTTAGGACCAAAAGTTACCTGTAGACGTAGCCTTCATTGATTTCAGAAAAGCTTTTGACAAGGTTCCGCACAACCGGCTATTATATAAGTTAAGAAATGTCGGAATTGGAGGAAATCTATTTATGTGGATAAAAGACTTCCTAGTTGGGCCTCAACAAAGAGTACGGGTGAACTCAAAGTTATCTAGCTGGGAAACTGTGCTTAGTGGAGTGCCTCAGGCTGCAGTTTTGGGGCCAGTGCTATTTCTCTTGAATGTAAATGACCTTCCTCGTCTCTTATCATCATCGGTCTTGCTATATGCTGACGATGTCAAGATATGGAAAACTATACGATGTAAGGGTGATAGCATAGAAGTCGAAAATGACCTGGAGAAATTATCTGAATGGTCTCAAACCTGGCAGTTGCCGATAAATACTTCCAAGTGTGTTATGATGCATATCGGTCATCAAGGTACAGATACATAGACGATGAATAACACTGAGCTGCCTGTTGTCCAGACATATAATGACATAGGAGTCATCGTTAGCCAAGACTTAAAGACTACTGCACACTGCCGTGCATTAACCGCCAAAGGTTTTAGGATGTTATGGTCAATACGTAGGGCTTCTAGTCATGTCGACGCGAAGAAGTTTTTGACTTTGTATACGGTGTTCGTACGTCCTAAACTTGTGTACTGCATACAGGTGGCTAGCCCCTGTTTAAAAAAAGACAGTGGGCTTTTGGAAAAAGTTTAAAGAACAGCAACTAAGCTGATTCCCGGAATAGCGAAGCTTCCGTATGATGCTGGATTGGCCAAGCTAAACTTATTCCTATTTTCATATCGTAGAACTAGAGGCGACTTGATTACAGTTTTCAAATTGCTTAGTGATAAATTTGCACCTGATATGCTCTCATTTTTCTTGTCTCCCAAAACAGAGGATTTACGAGGACACTCCAAAAAAGTTCACAAGCCCAGGACAAATTAATTGTCAGTTGACTGTCGACTTTCCCATCGAATCATCAACGAGTGGAATTCATTACATCGGCACGTGATTGAGGCTCCATCTATCGACTTTTTCAAAAGAAAGCTGGATCAACTGAGAGACCACCATTGCCATGACTAACACAGGCCATCAAGCCTCCTGTCTTTTCCAAACCGAAGCTGGATTAACTCATTTATTTGTTCTTGAAACCTATGTCTTCTATTAGCACACAAATTTTTATCTTGCTATTTTTACATACAACGAGTGAACCTAATTTCTGACTATCTGATAGCTGCTGGTATTCAAAAAATTTTTTTCCTGAGACAAACGCACTCACTCAAATCGCAAGACATGCACATCCACAGCAAACTACCTAACTGACTAAAATAAGTATAGTCGAATTTCTAGGCTACCACCCACTGAACATTACCAAGTACCTGGAAATATACCCAAACAACAAGAAGCGAGAACAAAGAAATCCGGAAAGAAGTTACCTAACACTAGGACTGCCTTTGGCCAATTAGACATATCTTGTAGGTCAGTGTAAGCGGGATTATTAAGTCAAATTTATGGCGCGGGTCTGACATTTTCTTATGGCTAGTGGTTCACGAGAGTTGCTTAGACTGTTTGCGGCAACAGTAAATCCACCACCCTTCATATAATATATTTTCAGATACAAGATGCAAGTACTTTAGCTGGTGAGATGCGATTTATTGATCTCAACTCTGCTTTCAAAATGACTTGTGAGCTTCAGCAGCGTGTCGTCGACCTTATTTACTCACATAAAAAGCACTTAAGAACCCTAGAGGCCATTGTCCGAATCAAACAAGAAGGTAAAATTTTCTTTAAGGACTGCTTAGCTCATTGCTTCTAGACACAAGTTCAGTAAGTCGTGCGGAAATCTTCATGAAATATTTTTAGAATCTAAATGGAGAGTTTCAATGTCAGCAACAAACTCGTGACGAGAGTGAGACTGATGAACAAGTAGATCATGGTAGGTGTCTGTCCATTATCGTGAGTAGTTTTTTAGTTGGTAGGTGCTTTCAAATATTAGTAAGGCTATAGTTGTTAGAATACTCAGTGGGACTATATTCCCTTGGTAGTGGATAACCATGACTGCATCAAAACAAGGGGTGTCAGCATGTTCGATAAGTACTTGAAAATAAATATCAGGTTCTGGAAAACACTACAGGAACTCATATAGGTAATTTGGCATTGAATGAGGTGTGACTCCCGGCGACTCTACTCACATACGCAAATATAAAAAGTATAAACTATCGAAAAATCCGTCTACTTTTCAAGTCAGTCATTTGAAAACGAAGAGCATTCTAATCTCTGTTGTATTTATGGTTTACTGATAAGTACAATACAAGATGCGAGTGCTAGGTTTAAACGTCATAAGACTTGTTCCTGTTAAGTATAGGATTCCTTAGTTTGTTATATTAGTGCAATCTTAAAAATATATCATGCTCCACTCACTAAGAGCATTGTTGACAAAGAACAAATATGTCCACTCAATTAGCAATTAAATACGAGTGTAAACCAAAATAAGCTTTAAATGTACTATTTTATTTCATAGTGCTTAAATCAGCCTGTGTTCATGCCGAATAGGCTGGCCTGGCAAGACAAATATTGAGTTAAGTCCAGCTTAAAAAGTTATATAAGACCAGAGAACTTGAGGGTTAAACGAAGTAGATATATGGGGTTTGTGTTTTTTTCATTACCAAGGATTTCTTGATCCATTCTTCTAATAAGTCAATCACTTAATTTCTCTTTATCCTTATAAAATCACATTTAAATTGAAGACAACCTGCAAAGGCGGTTTAGTCTTCGGTCAGTGACGGTCTTGAATTTCACAATCAGTTTTCTCAGTCAATCAGTCATATGTGTATCGGATCAAGTTGTCTTACCAAGGGTAGTACGAAAGGGTTGGGTATAGAAACATAGAAAAGCTGTAGGGAAATTCCTTTGCTAAGGTTTTACATGTAGACAAAAAGCGGGTGCACATGCGTAACTATGAAGGATTCTGGAGCGTTTCACCCGAAGTCTCTAACCGTTGGTTACAATTATCACGTGGGCTTCAACCAGGGTGTCTACACCTATTAACATAACCCAGTTAGTTTGTCGGTGACTTCAAAAACTGAGGTGGTTGTGGCATGTGTCGCGCATGCATTACAACATGATGCACAAAACCAAGTCTCGAAAGGCACCTATACGCTTTCCAATCATCGGTATAGATCGTGGTGCCAGGCTGAACGTACTCCTTGATGATTGGTATTATTGTCGTTACCTGACGGTTTCTCACTCTTTTAAAATGTCCCTTTTGAGTTGAACAACCGTAAAATCCAAGTACCTGTCAAGTATATTCACGGAAGTGTTGCTTACCCAATCTTCCTTGATAAAGCGTCCTTTGTTCTATTTTCGCTTTCTAACTACTGTCTCATCTATTTGCACTATCTTTCCAACTCCTCCAAATGATTGATGTACTCCTGTCATTTTCATTGCGCATATATCACGGCAATATTCTTACCACTGAACGGCGGAAGTTTCCGTAACATCTGCAAAAGCTGCAGCTAATGTTACTGGAGACTATGATCCAATTTGCAACAATTATAATTTGTCTTAGCCTGAGCCGTGACCGGGCAAAGAAAGTGCCAGTTCGAGCAGATTTTTTTCTCCAACATATGGTACAACGAAATATAATGTCATCACGGTAGTCCGCACATCGTGCTGCAGTCATTTGATTGCCGCAGTCAAAGATACAGGAACTTCTTAATAGTCCCATTTGTTGTAGTCGCTCAACAATCCCCTTTTCTCTAAAATCTACTGTAAAACGATCGAATGTGAGCATCTCGCATTGAACTTAGTGCCGTGACCTTAAACTTCCTCAAACGCTTCTGGCTGGCTCGTCCATAAATTAGAGTCCTACCGAAAAATCTAGTGACACCACGATCAGTGGTGTTCGAGTAGAGAGCTTATACACAGTTAATGTACTTCTTTGGTGGGCCTTTTAATAATACACCATTTCAAAACCTCACAATTAATAATCAAATATTGCCTTAAGGTCAAGAATAACAATTATAATCAGACATCAGGAAGTATGTCTGTTCCAGAGCCTGATGAATAGTGAACATTTGGTCTATACATCCGCGTCCAGGTCCGAAACCAGCATGGTTTTCCGAAGTTCGCTATTCACATACCCTGGTTAACCTAATATTTCGGACACCATATTCGTCGAGTTGACTTCTCTGCAATTGTCACACGAAGATTTACTTCCTTTCTCACAAATTAGAATGAGCATCAATTAAGACCAGTCGGGTGGGATTGTGTCCAGTTCCATGACTGTAGACAAAGTATAAGTCAAGCTCACTACTGAAACTGTACCGCCACCCGTTAGTTTTTAAATCCTTTTATGAGAAACGAGGTACTTATGTAGAAATGGGTTAATACTCGTATAAATGCTTTTGCTTTGCAATGAACATTGTAATACAAAAACTTAAACTAAATACTGACGTACAAACAGATTGAGTAAAATTATATTTAATCAGGCATTGTATTGACTACAAGTGGTCATGTAGTATGAAACATCGACTCAAGTGCTTTTAGAGTACCGACTTGTTAACCTGACACACTGATTCTTGGTCTCACGAGGTCATACCATGAACATTTCTGTTCGTCAGATAAACTAGATGAAAGGCGCCAAAACCACACGCGCAGCTGCCAATTCACCAAAATTGATGTTTTACTGTAGTCAATACGAATATGAATACTACTGGATCTCAACATAACCAACAGTGTTACCACCAAATGTGGGCGATCATTTGGTGAATACCCTAAGCTTAGAGGTTTGGCTTCAGAAATAAATAACACGGATGCTAGCACTTCATTGTACATCCGGCTATATCTATTCAGAGGGCAACGCAATGTATGGAAAGATACGTGGTGTAATAACCAGAATTAGGACTAAAGATTCCATAACTGTACAGCAATTATGTGCATCCCTACCGTAGTTTAACGTGTTTAGGTGAGAACTATGCTTTCGATTCCAATCACAACAACACAGATACAAAGTATGAAGTAAATTACTTAAGGTTTCGGTCTTGGTAGTTTTTTGGCCTTCGGTGTGTCGTTTTATAGATTGCAAGACTGATAATCTAATGTCACTTTATTCTTTTGCAATAAAGTTTTCATACCAATTTGCATCCACTTTATGCAGTGACCGTATTGTTTTTTACAGAAAGTACTGTACCAGTCAACAATGATGAATTGCCAAGCAATAACAGTCAAGAGGATCAACCGATGTGTAACACGGAGAACACAAACAAAGAAGCTACAAATAAAGTATCTGCTAACAATCAGACAAATATTATTTCTGATGCCCTCACAACAAACTCCATTAAAGATGTATGCGGAGCAACAAATGATAAACATAGACTAGTCTCTATAGATTCACTATATCACGATATGTTGCCTGGTGCTTTTGATAATAGTTCAACTAATGAAAATGTGCAGTGTCATGCTTGTCAGTTAAGAAATCAAGTACAAAATGGAATGACCATTAACATGGTTTGTGCAGCATGTCCTGGTTTTCCTCGTCTTTGTTCAGCACAATGCTTCCGTTGGTGGCACAGCGTTCACTTATTGACACCAGTTAATAAGGAGTCCAAGTCTATAGAAGAAGATAAAACTTCTACAATAGAAAACCTATCAAGAAGTTTAAGTCCCTCTGAATTCCAACAATCAAGAAGAACTAAAGAATACAAAGCTCATACAAGATCACTTCCTTTACTTTCCGCATCAGGTGATCTTAAACCGGATGGACGAAAAAGAAAACGTAAATCTCATAGGTTTACACATGTAAAACGACATCCTCCTCAAGGTACTTCATTTTGGGTTAAACAATCTAATAATATTAATTCTATCACTGTACAACCTAAAGCTGGTCGCCCACGAAAAACACAAGTTTACATGAATATTAAAGATCCAGAATGGACACCTTATAGAAAATATTGATCATTACTAAACTAGATACAAATTAAAGAAATGAAAATATACACAATATTTTTCTTCAATATATTTATATACAAATATGATTACACTTTATTTTTCAGCTTTTGACAAATCTCTTCTTCTTATTCTTATTATTATTATAAAATATATAGATCAGTGTCATTTGAAATGTGTTATACTTGAAAGAAATTCTCATTAACAATATAACGAATACATTGCATAAGTTGATTACGTTCTTTTCGAATATCTTCAGCTAATAACTAAATCAGTGTAATTGTGAAAAAAATATCAAAATAATAATTATTATCATTTAAGAAGTGAGTTATTTCTATGTCAACTGATAACTATGTCAAATAATCGTTAAAGTACAATGGTATATATATGTATATAAATACATTGTAGATGATTGGGGGTCTGCTCAAGTTAAGCGGGAATAGTGTGATGAACCAGCTAACTTCCAAGTCATACTTTGCGGTCAGCATCTAACGTGAATTACCCCTTCAATGTATCAAAGTACTATTATGGCTGCTTTGAAAACCGTATAACACAAGGGATGTTAATACGTAAATATAAGAATGAGTACAGAGAAGTTAGTGAGACCAGTCAGCTACAATGTAGGATCAGGCATATATGTGCATCGGTTCAAGTTGCCATACCTCATTAGCACAAGATGAACACTGAATTAATAGAAGTAGTCACTTCAATGGTAGTAATGTACAAAAGAAAGGTTTCATATAAACATATAACAGGAAGAGATAATTAGGAAGAAAGATATAAAGTGATCTTAATCTCATAGTTTAAGGGGAGACAGAGTGTATACACCGACACCACTGTGGTCGATTCTGAGCCATGTCACACAGTCTCCAACCACTGGTTACGATAGTCGTATGGACCCCAACCAAGTAGTCTGCATCTACCAACATGGCTAAGACTAAAAGCTAACAACTCTATAGACTGGTGCCATGTTTTGGTTAGACCGATCCTAACTTTCTTCCAACCATCCCCAACATTAGTCAGCATTGCGCACCGTTGTAATCGGTGTTCAGGCATGGGTAACATGTGACCCAGTCATCTCAGTCGATGAAGATTCCCAACTGATTCACCACCACCACATAGGCCAGTCCATGACTGCTTTAAAGACCGTATAACACAAAGGACGTTACTATGGAAGTGTATTAGTAAGAATTAGTGAGACCACCACCGCATAAGCCAGTTCATGGAGTATGATTAACTCATGCACATTGGTTGTCTTTGAACTTGATAGGGATAGATTATCTGTTCGATATTCAATGACCCAACTGCCGGATGATTTGGTTAGGGCTCAACGACATTTCACTGGCCCTAAAATAATACAGAATAATCTTGTTAAAGTCGACTATAATCCACTTTAATATTGATAACGGTAGCTGTGAATAATTTTTCTGTAAATGTACTAATTAGTACTAGCATGATGTACATATTTTTTAGTTATAGTAGAAATACCATTAAGGGTATACCACTAACTTTCACTTAAGTTGGTTTCCATAATATCTATATATCCCTAGTGCTATAAAATCTAAATAAATCAAGTCTAAATCAGTCTTGAGTGCTGTTAGAGGTATGAGGGCGGTTATCATTTCCCAGTTGCCCACACCGTGGAAAGGTTCTTCTGGAGGTACTTGAAAAGGAAATTGGATTGCAGGTGGTTTTAGTGACCTGAGAGTGTGATCGCAGTGCCCAAGGGATAACTGCTTGAGGTCGGTCACACATGACCTTTTTGACAGTAATTTTCGTGTTAGTCCGTACTTGTTGAGACCTTACCGCCGGAGGCGGATATTCGTGGGGTAAGGCGGTGTGTATTTTTAGAGTCGACCTTTTCTAACCCCACCACACCTTCTGGGAAGGCAGCCTTGCTGTCATGCTGGTCTTCTGAAGGAAACACCTTACTGCTGTCACACTTAAGTACAGTCAGCAGTACGACTTCGCCTTCGGACCTTAGGTTTTTTGCTTTTGGTTTTACCGTTCTTCAGCCGACCTGTCTGACATAGTAGGACCTTGAGGAACGGTTGTTCCAGCCAGTATAGCTCGGCTGCTTCATCACGAAAGGCAAGCCCGACCATCACGTCAATGTACCAACAACGGTCGGGCAACTCTAATTATTTTCTAGTCGAATTATTGACAGACAAGTAAAATATACCTACCATCTGTAGTAGCGTTGGACGACTATGTATACGATGAATGTCACTTAGACATTGTCGTCGTTTAACTTGTAGCTTCACTAAAGGATGCGATGCAAATGGATCATCTTGAGAATTTTCAGTATTTTCGTTATCTGGATTATCATTGGTCTTGTCGCCCTTTTGCTTTCGTCCGCGTTTTCGACGTCGACTGCTTGAAGTATTATTGAGCTAAAAATTAAACGAATATTTCTGGGTAATTTCAAGAGAGAGACAGAACTTGTTATTATTTTTGTAAATATTATTACAACTTATTGTTTAAAATACTTTTGTAAATTAGTTGAGTATTAAGGATAGCCAAGCAGATGTAGAATTATCATCCTATTTTAGATCTCAATGATAGAAAAACTATGATTTTTTAAAATTTCATTTTAACACATAGATATTCGTACAAGGAGACACCAAATAGTTATGCGCCACGTAAAATCATTCGATTTGTGTGAGGGCTGGGATACTGCCCGGGTGCCGAAACCGAAGCAGATGGTTTTCTTGGGGGACCACACCCGGGACCTTCGACCTGAAGGTCTGATCCACGAGGCAGTGGAGCATCGTAAGGAGATGCAGTCCCATGGTAGCCGGTGACCAACGATTGGTTCATATGCCATTTGTTCCTTCAGGATCGTGGAGCCCATGTGCATCATTGGTTCGGAATCAGGGTTTTCCAACTCCCCTAGGTGGATCCTCCATGTCCACCAACGCGGTTAGAGCGACGAACATTCGCTTTTCGTTCTCTGAATTTCGTAAACAACACCCCCGCCACGAGAAGGCAGTGAAGTTATTTCCGTGTTATTGTTACTACACAATCCCCCTTCCCCAACAATTTCATGCACCCTTTCGAGATAGTTTTCTTGTCATCTTCAAAATAAGACAAGTATGAATGACTAGGTGATTTGTCATGATTAAATTTGAACAGCAGAAAATATATGAAGACCATATAACACTCCGAAAAGATAATATGTCTAAATTTTAATGTTCGTGTTTGGGTTCTTTTGCTGCCTCCGTTTATATGCTTGAGGAGCACTATGAAATAACTCACTACGTTATAAATTTATCTTGGAAACGAAATGAACATAGTATAAAACGGCGAGACTATAATTTACGGACGAACCAATCACGTATAAGATAACAGGTCTTAGATTTTGGTGCGAAGTTAACTCATCCATTTGAATAAATAGCGTTTTGGCATGATAGCTCATGTCAGTTTGTGATGACCCCCCTTCTGAAAAACCTAATTCCTAACCTTAACCATCAACTGTAAATCATAATTTTAATTCTTCACACAGGTTTATAACCCTCATTTGGTCCTGGTTATTAGATGGACACACTCAAGGTCAGTCTAGCGTCGCTCAAAGGTCTTCCAAAAATTATAGTCTCACCTGTAAAACACAAGTCCCATATCCTATACCTTCGGTCGTCATAATCAAAATCTTACCTTTTCCACAGATTCTGTAGTAGGATCGATTATATCACAGGAAGATTTATCATTAACAGTATTATTGTCATTATCTGTGCTTTCACTGTCGTAATCCGTAGGGACTAAGCGTATGCTAGATTCTTGATTTGTAACGACTGAATTGGGACTATTTGTTTGACATTGTTTCGCAGTTTTACTAGTTTTTTTCGACGAAGTTGATATCTGTAGGATACAAATGGTGGGATAATTAACTATCACTCAGTAAATATCAACGAATAAAGACGCAATTGTGATTTGTGATAACAAGTGTGATTTCGACAAAAAAACGTATTGGTTAGTAGTCATCTAGTGAACTGAGAACCATTAGAATTATTTCTTGTTAGTTTACGCAAAACGATAGCATTGGAAAATATTGACAAGCATATATAGGTAGGTTAACAAGTAGGATCTTTAAAGACTAAATGAAACAATTGGTTAACTTGTCACAACCAACTTCTCAATGTTTACAGTTTATTTTTTCATTATCATTGATACTATATCATCTTGAATACAATGTCAGTCCTCTTGTTAATGTGATTTCACAGTGACAATTTGGTAATAACAGCTTAAGTTAATATCCATTTATGCCAGACTCTAAGTTAATTACGGCTGACTGGTCAGTAGGATTCTATCTCATCACTTTGCGGTATTTATGTAAGTAAACGTTTAAGAACTAAGAAATTCAATTGTTAGCATACTGCATGGACAACATTCACTTGATATTGTTTTACTTGAATCTTCCCATTGATGTTTTTGGACTGAAATTGATCAGTCTCTTATTGGCATATGTGCATACTGTGCGTATGCCTCAATATTGCCTTAATTTACAAGCATTATAAGCAAAGATGGATAGTGGCTAGCAGTGGAATCCAGGACGCGCGTTTCGTCCTGTTTGAGAGTCGTCAGCTGGATGTACCTGCATCTCAGAGTTGATGTTCATTCTGGGACTCGAGTGAATTAAACTTCAACCCATTGCACAAGCAAGTGGCTATCAGGACTCAGTAGCTAAGTGGATAACGCGATGGCGTTTGAAGCGAACAGTACTGAGTTCGAGTCCCAGAGTGAACGTCAACTCTGAGATGCAGGTAAATCCAGCTGACGACTCCCAAATAGGACGAAACGCGCGTCCTGGATTCCACTGCTAGCCACTATCCATCTTTGCTTATGCATGGACAACAGTTTTAAATATACGTATATGATATGAGAATTGCATAATACTCCTCAAAAATCTGTCGAATATTGCATTAAATGCATTTTAGTTATTATTTACAAATGTTGTACATTGTGATATCAGAATTTATGGAACTAGAACTGATAACAATAGTGATCAAGACAATAAGAATAGTGCTAAGTTTCAAAATTATCACTAATGAATAATCGTATATGGCTGAAACTACACACCCTATATGTAATTTGGTATCATCTTAAGGTATAGATTTCTCATCATACTAATAAGCATGAATAGGGAATTTGAAAATTGAAGAAAAATACAGATTTACATTACTTTGTTAGATGAAGCATTGACTTCACCTATTTGTGATGAACGTAGAACATTTGAATTCGGTTTGTTCATCGAACTAAAGTATAAAAGTGAGACGGATAAATACAGTATTATAACGATGTAAATTAATAGTAACACAAGGCAGACAAACAAATTGTATTATCCGCTAATATAGTACAATGCAATTCCAGATTTTACATCTTAGGAAACCACTTCAAGTGGACTAATAATAAATGAGCACAGTGTGGGATTTTCGAGGTAAATAATTTAAGGTTTCAAATTACGTGCATGATATGATAAATGTTATCTAACCGCACATAACATACACAAGCATGTTGTATAAACTCACCATCATTTAAGATATATTCTACTTTAATTCCTATTTACATTTGGCAATATGTGAAGGGCTTGTTACAATGATTATACATAATGTCTTGGATATTCATTCTTATACAGTGCAAATTGATCATAATCATCTTTTAAAAGTTGCTAATTTCAAGCCTTAAGCCTTAATAGACCTTAATAATTGAACTTTGACTACAAAAAGAACATCTGATTAACATGGTTAGGCCTTATTTGCCTATGTACTTATAAATTTGCTAAAGGTTAAATAGCATGTATAGCATCGTTTCATCTCTCAGTACAGATGTGGTTTGATAACGTGAGGCAATCCAAGTTTGTAGGACGTCGTGTGTTGATGATAACATACCAAAGAGGGAAATTATGCCTACGATTAGTGAAATGGAAATCATTTACAGGAGCCATTAAGGTCACAGCTCCACTACCTATTATATATATATATATATATATATATATATATATATATATATATATATAAGTGTATTTTCATTATTGACGTTGCTTACTCACATTTAATGATGATTCCACAGTAAAAGGATAATTAAAAGCTGAAAGAAAACCAATGAGATCACACACTGTTGTACAATTATAATTTCCAAGATGTAAAAGTGTACAGAACAAGCCACGTTTTGGAATAGTGAGGGATATTGAAATCTACTCAAATTTTAAATTCAGTGGTTTCGGATATAACAAGAAAAGAAACTACTAAAAATTACATCGTTATAACATCACCATATGTTAAAATTAAAAAAAAGGAGATTACCCGAATTGAGGTGTCTCAAATATTTCTCCTCGCTCTATACGTTCTTCAATAAGCTTCTTTTTCGCTTCAACTCGCTCTATAGTTGGATAATTTCTGAGAAATTAGAATGAACAATACAAAAACGTCGGTGATATTTATTACTATACACCAAAATAATCATTTCACAAAAGAAATAGTGACATTTAGTGTAGAAAGAGATCATTCAATACCATGTGTCCAATTTGGGTAAACTGCAAAATAATGAAAATCTAGGAATTCATCACTTTAAAATACAATTTTTGGCATAATATAAACGGAAATTAAAGCAATCAGACATTAAAGAACACTGAAGAAATAAACATTGGTAATTCAGTAGAAAAGTTAGAATGAATGTTACAACCAAGGGTTTTCAAACTTCTCATTCCTAGCTGTAGTAATGACACAATTTATTAAGTCAAGATTTGCATGGCTGGATCTAAGCCAAACATTGGATGTAAAAGCTAGTGTTGCTAACTGGCTGCTTAAACGAGTGATGAAAAAAGATTCGAAAATACCTTTGATCTAACCACTGCTATGAATCCGGTGTCCATCTTGTTGTGCTGATGCGGTATGGCAACCTGGACCGATGCACATATGTGCCTGGTCCTACGTTGTAGCTGACTGACTGACTGACCAATTATGCATCGATCTACGGCTTCTGGTGTTGTTATTACTATTCTCACTCTCACACTAATTTTTGTTCATTTTTTTCTTTTATTATAATCACCTTCCTTTTTCCATTTCTACAAGCTTGTTTTTATCGTGGCGTATACATATTTAAGTTCCCCTTTGTACCAATGCTTATGTTTGAATAAATAATACTAAACACATTAAATAGAATGTGGTTTCGAATGGAATAAAAATACATTTACGGCTGAAAAGAGATGGACATAAGATGCCCTCAAATGCCCTGGTACGGCCGAGAGTGGGGAGAGTCAGCTCTCCCTCTCGAAATGCTCTCACATGGCCACGCGTATAAAGCCTCTTCCAAGGAAGTCCTACTCACTGCCTTCTCGTGGCGGGGGTGTTGTTTACGGAAATAGAAGGACGAAAAGCGAATGTCCGGCGCTTTAACCGGATTCCAAACCAATGGTGCACATGGGCTCCAGTATCCTGTGGGAACAAATGACGTATGAACTAGTCGTTGGCCACCGGCTTCCATGGGACTGCATCTCCTTACGATGCTCCACTGCCTTGTAGATCAGATCTTCAGGTCGAAAGCTCGGGGTGTGGCCTACTAAGAAAACCACCTGCTTCGGTTTGAGCACCCGGGGAGTATCACAGCCCACACACACACAAATATGATGTGGCGCATATATATTTGGTGCCCTCTTGTACCAATATTTATGTGTTGAAATAAATAAATAAATGTTGTAGCTGGCTGACTGACTGTTTAAATAAATAAAATGATGTGAAGTGTGTAGCTTTCATGATAGCTCTTACGTTCACTGCAAATAATTAATATTTTATTTTGAGTACGACCATAAACCTTTTGAGTATCAATCAACTTTCACCTTATTTACTCAGAGGTTACTTTATAGGTAAGAAAACCATTAAAAATGTCCAGTTCTAGTGGGCTGCAGAGAACAAAGCACCTAGTTAGTACGCTTTGTCTTTCAGTAGCTTTTAAACTTGTTGCAAAATGAATTCGAATAGTTACTAGAACGCATAGTCTACTGATTTTTATGTAAAAGACCATACTTCATATCTTATTTGAATCAATCGTTATGGTAATTGCACGAGAAAAACCGTAGTAATCAACAGGTTAGTCGTTCTTATGTTCTTTAAAACACACCATTCATAAATACAGGAAAAAACTTTTACAGTACCAACGTCTTTTATACTTTACAGAAAAGATAAATAATCTGGGTTCCTATAAAAGGGAAACCCTACTGATACTTTAGTTGAAGAAGTCTTACCGTTTACGGCTTTCTCTCCAAACTTTTACTGACTTATCGCAAGTTTCACGGTAGATGACATTAAACAAACCACTATTGTGAATCTGTAAAAAGGATATATAAATGACAATTTATAGAGATTTACTGACCACTTCCTGATGGACACGCATTGCTTTCTGATGTGACGTAAATGGGCAGCCCTCAACAGGACACTTGGTCAAATATTATTTGACAACCGAGCAAAACTTACTTTAACATGACTATCTAAATGTCTTTTATATTCCTCATTAGTGTAGAAGGCGATATCACAGCATATCCCCACTGGATTATAATAATCGGGATCTTCTGCTTCAAACCCTACACCATATAGTCCTCCGTTTCTCCTCCGACGTCTACGCCTTCCCACATCTTTGAAAAGCTTGCTTTGATCCAACTCTTCAAGTGCAGTTTCTAATTCATTAAGTATATCTGACGTAGTATAAAGTAATTCAAAAGGTGGTAGTTCCATGACGATTAGTTCGAGCAATCTCAAACGAAAAACAACAAATAAATAAATTGACTAGATAGTACAAACAGATGTTTTAGGATTAGAGAACAGGAATCTGAACATGACACAGTTCAATCATGAGTGAAGCAGTATTTTTAATGTACAGAACAAGAGACTACTGTGAATTTAACTAAATCTGCCTACCTTGATATAACTGTCCAAATGAATAAACAAGGTATTACTCCAAAATGACATTATAATCTCTAAAATATGTACTGAGTTTCGAACCTAGTTGTAGAAACATTTATGTCCAAGTACAGATTAAGCCTTTAATAATAAATGAGGCATTCTAACCGGATTAAGAGATATCTCCTTATTTGGATAGATGATGCAATATTTATTACGAACTAAATCTGGCTGAGGAACCACAGAAATCAGAGAACGTTTCGTACCTGTTTGTGACTCATAACCACGATCACTCAGATAATCAGAACCAAGACCTTAAAATACTGAACCAGGCGTTGCCTGTTCAGAAGGCTGATTCAGGCCAAAACGATTTTATTTTTACCTTACATCATCTATGAACAACTTGGGATGTAATTTGAAAAACACCGAAAAAAACCATGGTTTTCTTCATGCATGAGGAAAATCAACGAGTGGATCTAGCTGAGGGATGAAACGATAACAAGCAACTAGATTGACTTGAACACTTAGGCTTTCTACTTTTATTAATGTCAATATATGCACAGTACAACATATCCATTCTTATTGATTCAAAGGGTTACGTAAAGACATAATACCTCACGCACTCAACTAGCAGCCAATTTAAGGAAGAAAAAACAACAAGGTTTAACGTCGATGAGTGGAATAACTACGTCTGTAAATTTTGATAGGCGGACAATTTACGATAACATGTGAAAAAGAATAACATATGACTGTAGCCGAGCAAGTTTTACGCCCCGCCGAAAATATCATAATCAATTTATTGACTTTCAAACCTATGTGTGAAGTCCAAAAAATCATCGTTATTATGTCAAGGTGGAAATTCCAGTGGTTGTGAACGGAGTCTAAAACAGCTTGTGTGTCTAGTAGTTGTTCATCGATGTCTTCATGTCGAGACGTTGGTATATTCAACAAACGAAAGAGAAATATTAGGTTAAAATGCTATAATGTCTAAGGCCTAGAATACATCAAATTTCTTCTTGACGAACATCCAGGAAGTTGTTTGAATCACCCCAGCTGCCAGAGAATTCCGGGGTCTGACTATCGGCAAAGAGTAGGTCAAATATGTGCGTGTAATTTCCTGTTCACCGTATTTTGCCTCTGATTTTCGGGTATCACCCCCATGGTTTGTGTTGACCATGAACTTAGATGGACTTCCAGAGGGTGCTCAGGGGTATGTCGTCAGGTGATCACCTTCGAGCAGCTTATATTTTTTAAAGGCAAGGGTGCAATGATTCTAGACGGACAGTATGAGGCCTGTACATTTGCACACGACATGATTTATTGTCTAACCTTAGAATAAGTTCTACAGCATCCCTAGTCCTTGAAGAAAAAGGAAGGAATACTGTATTTCTATGTGTTAAAGGAATTTAAATAAAGGTGATGAAAATTAAGTGGAAAGCCGAAAACGCCCTTCAAAGTTATCAGTTCAAGCTTTTCTGTAATAGAGCTTTACGTCCAGTCCAGGGGATATGGAACATTTTAGAAGACGCGATCTGCGATGCAACAGGTCAGTTTATAGCTTCACGTTCGAGATTCCTATTGACCCACTCGTGGGTGCTGCGTGACGGAATAGGCTTCAGAGACTGGTGAAAAGTTTTTCCACTAAATCAGTCTAGTATCGGTTCCCGCCCTTCCTTAGGGCCTTCTTTTATTTGTTACTAGTTTGTCTGGACTTCCTGTTAATTATTTCGTCTCTGACTTTTTGAATTTTGACTAGTATGGTCCTTTCTGTTCGAAGGAAGAGATTCTGTATGATCTCAAGTACTTACCAATCATTTGTGGAACCAACAGGATTGCAGAGAGCGAGGTTGTGTGCAGTGACAGTTATCACTGGACATCTGCATCAAGTGGAATAAAAACATACCCTGTAGAGTTAACCCCTACTCCGTAATTCTAACAAATGTCTGTGCATCTCTCACAACTTCCAGACGAGCCTTGTCTCAACTACTTAGCTAACATGGCTTGTTCGCAGTTTTTTTAAGTTGCAACAATTTCTCACAAGCAACCATTATATTTTCTTCGGAAATCGTGTTATTTGTCAGTATTCTCGTCTGACTGAGCCTCATATGCATAGCCAATGAACTTTATTACTCTATTATTTTCAGCTGAATAGTTCTTGGCTTCTCCACAGCCTTTTGTATTTTATGATCCGTTAGCGAAGTCGCCAATTTTAGTTTGCTTTGGTTATGTTTTATCATGTCTTCGCGTGGTTTGTCCGATTGTACGAGGATTTCAGAAGACATCTGTCGCCGGATCGCGCAAAAGTTCACTAGAATGACAGCCATTATCTTCGATAAAAATTCGTTGCCTGGGATTTAGTGCCACTTCCAGTCAGCCAAATGGATTTGGGGTCTGAATACCTCTGAGCTTTGATGTGTCTCGAGCTTCCATCTCTGATTATAAAAAGCTGAGTCCCCAAGCTTCATGGTTTGCTAGGATTTAGGTTTAGGTCGGTAGTATTGCACTTACCTATGCTACTAGAGCAATAAAGTCAATCCAATATTGTTAATTTCCCGTGATTACTGCTCAATTTATAAGATATTATGTAGAATCCACATCACTGACTATGGTATCCCGTTCTATTCACAACAGTCAGAAGTATGCTTTATACGAACCCTTGAAGGATACATTCGGTCTAAAAAAAGAATAAAAATTTTTGTATAAAAAACAAGAGTTTACACAGTGACCAGGCCTGGATAACTGAGCCATGCCGTCTCGATTAAATGTTCCATTCTTAGCCTATTCTGACCTTCAAGTGTTCAGCGCTTAATGTAAGTCTTCTCATTTATTGTGTGTCCAGCTTCGAGGATCTTGCGGTTAGGAACCAATGCTAATGTATTTTTTTGAATTCCATGTGCATTTATGTTGCTTACTTTTTCCCTAACGTTTCTTAATATTCCTATGAAATTGCTCCAAATACGGTGCATTTGGAAAGATTCACACATTTTAATCAGACGTGATCTAATAACTAGCCTGTCAGACATTCTTTGCGTCATCAGCACTGGCAAACGTAGCTCGAAATACTATTGAATGGGTTGGGTGTCTAGTATTTCTTCACTGAAGAAGCCGTATGATTGTGTTGAGGATTCTATATTGTGCCGAAATAGAATATTGAATAAAGCCATTAATAATCATAATAGTGTTTCAATTTAAAGTTTTGTGCAACGTCCGAAATGCCAAAATTCTGTTTGAACGTAATATTAACGACCAGACTACATTCTTCTGTATAGAATACGGAGCGTCTCTGAGTGACTCATATTAAACTACATCAAAAAGCAAAATTTTCGTTCAGTGTAAACGGTTCCAATTCAAGAAAGAGAACAAACTAACAAAAATACGGAATAGTTCAAATGGTACAGCCTGTGCTATACGATCAATGGTTTCTGAAACATGAACTGGCGTGCTAAACGACAAAGGGAATCGTGAACAAACAAGAGTTCGATACCTGGGGATCAATAGTAGTATTTCTAACAACATAGAATTGGATATCTATCTGCAGGAATTACAGCAACCTTTCCAAACAAACAGTCAAAAATTAAATCATGCACTGAACCACGCCTTGTCTTTGAGCTTAGTCAAGCGCGACCTTATTGTCAATAGTTCGTCAACATGCTAGAGTAAAACCAACTAACAAACAAAGAGTTTTTAAACAAAGTCACATAATAAAAGCTCAGATGAGTAATATTGAAGGACATTAAGTTTGGTCAGAAGAGACCTAAATGAAGGTTGAAATACAATACAGCGGGAAGGAAAAAATAAGTGACAATATTGTCCATTGAAGTGCTGTGGAGGAAGTTTCAGCGTCTTCTTTCCGTTGCGCTTTGGCTCCCAAGTTGTATCTTTCTACAACATCTCGTGGTTTTTTGCAGAAGACTGTGGTGAAGAGGCTGTTACAAACTATTTGAAATTAACTGTAACATGAAAATTGCCCCGAATCCTGACCTATCACTCAAGCTTTCGACCATTCTAAAGATTCGTCCGATGAACTAACTGGATTGAGGTTCACAGTTTTACGATTTCTAGTAGGTAGTTAAATGGCTTTGGGGGTGGATTTTGTGGCTACAACACAAAACCTGGTATTCTTCTAATATTCAGGCTTTCAACATCTTTTTAAGTGCGACCTTTGATTCTCACCGACCTGATCATATATGGGTCCATTCGTTGTCTTCCACAAATTTCAAGGTGAGCACTCTTGTTGTTGGGGTGTATACTCTAGACGACACTAGCTTATCAAGAGAATCCGATGCTTAATCATACCACAGCACCTAGTTGCAGTATATCCGCAGTGACGTTGGTGCTTGGTCTATCACTACTCTACTACTACTACTATGTCTGAGTTCATTTTTTCGTCTCACGATCTATCACTGATTGGTTATAAGCTTAGAACTTACCGCCTTTCCCTATCACTGAGGGTATTTTTTGTTCAACTTGGTCAGAAGAATTATATTACTCGCCGGCTCCTCAGTACTTCTATCACAGATGACACGTACACACTTGCGATCACAGTTCATTAAGTTTGTGTCAAGCAGCCTCCGTGGGATATATGCATTTCGTGTGTAGTCACCCCATACATTTATCACATCGTGTAACATATTTGGCAGTAGGTCCTTAACTAGATTGCTGATATATTCACTACTTTAGTTGCATACGATATATCCGAACAGCCAGTGTACTTCGATACTCCTGTACTCTTATTAGTCACATTGTTTAGGTGGTTTTATATCACACACCTTTTTCCAAGTCCTGCTAATTATACTTGCAACCATGACCATGTATATGCCTTCAAAGATATCTTTAATCGTTAAAATCGGTTAATGTAGAACGAAGTTGAAGTATCAATGAGTTCTTCACAAAACTTTGCTTTTGTGTTGTTGTCTGACATTGGCAGTAAACGTTTACGCGTTATGTGACAAGTTGTATGAATATTATCACAAAAATGCTGATCAGACATCTCTATTTTACTTAGTTTTTGTAGGACAAATCGAAATTTGAAAAACGTTGGCATATATTAAACTAATGAAATGAACATAGGAACGTGGGTAACAGTACATCGTCAGTTTGATTGTTCTATACATAAACTGTTCCAGTATTTTGCCATAAACAGTGTTGATTAAGATTGCCGAGTCATGTTTGATTAGCCAAAATCTAAAAAAGGGTAGATTTACTGAGGACGTCAGAGTAACCTAAAGTCATAATGTAACTTCAATAATGTAATAATAAAATTATCATAATCTTGTGGTATATTAGAGCAATACATTTGAACGGTGTGATTGCATGCATAAGTGTTAAAGTAACAGGTTTAATGAGCAAAAAGAATTTAATTAAAAAACATAGTAAGTAAACTATATAGAAAACCATATGTACCACCAGGCTTAGTCATAAATCATTGTTGCCAGGGTATGTTTATAGTCAACAAAAACTGTTTTGGGACACATGTTTAGGGTTGCACTTTTGTGCAATCAAGACTTTAATAAACCTTGCATATGACTTGCTCTCATTCGGTTTCTTTGTTCTATTTATTTCCGTAGTCATTTTTGTACACGTTCAGAGACCCCAACCTGTGAATCACAATCATTTACCTATTTGATCTCTACTATTTTTGAAATTAATCTAACGCACGTATCTTGTTGCGCAGCGGTTTAATTAACCGAACGTTGAGAAGCTCATTTATGATAAGGCTCATAAACTGTCTATCAGCTTAAGTTTGAAAATCTATCGTAGATTGGTAGCTATCAATTTATTAGACATGCTAGCACATCCAAATTCGTGGTCGGATTTCCGAGTGTACCAGCCGGAACTTCTGTTCACAGAAATAGATGAACTATATCGTTT